CGGCTACATTGGTAAATCAATTACCTGCTGTCATTCCCCAGTACAAATTGATATCAGCAGAGAATTCATGACATGAATGCAAATTCAAGTGACCCACCGGAAACATTTCATCTTCCTGCCCAAACAAAATTGCCTTGTCTTTGTCACTGTTTCACCTGGTCGAAGTAAACAAAATAATTTTCCATTCAGGTTTTTTTATAGCAATTGTAGGGAATTTTCCTTCCTTGGTTAGAATCTTAAATTTATATCTGTTAGTCAGGCACGTTTTCTCTCACTATATTCCCTCTTTTTAACCCGGTGGACGTTATGAATTAAATTAGTCTGTTGTAAGGTGCATAATTGTACTTATTCAAGGTTTTTTAAAAAATGATGTCAGCTCAAAACTTACTAAAATATTTTCAGCTTAATGTATATACGTTAGTACTAAAAGCTGCGTTAGTCATTTCACACTGTGCTTTTCAGATTTCTGGTTCGTGGTCTTCGCTCACTGGTCCTCGCGTACTATTAAATCATTTCGCAGTTCGCTTTTATCATATAAATTATTCATACTGCATCAGTACACCATATAATTGACAAGTAGTAATTGCAAATACTAGTCAATTCGTTTTTTCAGTATTTTACTTGTGAATTTAACCTTAGCATTTTACGTTTCTGTATGGATGGCGTACAAGTTTGTCACGAACTTGAGTCAGTCATTTTATAACCAAAAACGATCACTTATGTTTTTTATTTCGTACCAATATTTAGGTCAATTTTTTTTGCGTGTAATTCAGCGTTACATTGCAAGGCATGGAGAAGGATATAATTGTAATTTTACATCTAACAAATTAATTATTAAAAGAATAATGCTTGAACGCCGGTATTTTTATCATGCACTTTTTGTACTATTTTTTCGCGCAACAATCAAAATAACATTCACGAAGTGTTTTCTTCTCACTGACAAAAGTTCGGACGCGGCTCGTAGCGTCATAACGCATTTCTCATTAGGCATGTGGTAAGTGAAAATGAATGGAATTTAAAATTAATGTAGGTATAATTACAGACGTTTTGAAAGCTATTTTTAAAATGTGTCTCATTAATACTGATCAATCTTTTGTGCTTTACACCCCTTTAAAACTCAAGGTAAATTAATTAAAACTTGGACTCGTTTCATTAAAACCCTGATTTAAAAACCAAAAACAATTTTCATTGGAACAGTCTAACTTCTTCATGTGCTACTTTGTTTGTGTAACAGAGTCGCAGTAGGAAACCGAAGCCTGTTTTAAGAGTCCGTGCAGATACTTCAAATGCAAATCGGAAGCGTTAAGATAAGACGGTACTGATCATTACCAGTCTATTCAGTCACCGGGTAAGACTACTTTTTCTGCGGCGCTGCGACCATCATGCAAAAATCGCATACCGCCTCCACCACTCAGTATTACCTGGGGTCATAAGTGCCGTAAGGCCATTTAAATGTGTTTCAAAATCTTCCATTTTTTGCGTAGTATTTGACAATCATGAGCAGACTGTAGGTAGATTCGTGGACTTACCGGAAGCTTGTTCGGTGCATGCGATAAAGTTGTACCGTCTGTAAAATCGGCGCTTATTATTCTTCCGATTGCGTGATTGTGTTGTCTGATGGTTTTCGGGCTATCAAGTCTATCACACGCGTATGCATGTGGCTGTTGCAAGATAAAAACTGACACAAAGTACTTATAAACGAAAAGATCGTGCCAAAAAGAAGCATTTTATAATGTTTAGCAAGATCAGGAAGTGACTAGTCAAAATTGTAAAAGCTATGTTCCTAAAGTTATGTTTATAGGTTGTGAGATTCTGCAAGATAAAATACTGAAAATTTTGCTGGTTTTTAAAGGATTTTCCCATCAAAAAATCATAACTTACAGAAACAAACACTACCTTGTTTGTTTGTTTGTTTGTTTGTTTGTTTGTTTGTTTTTCTCCCCAAGCTTCTGGAAAAGATCTCCTTATTGCAGGTTCAGAAAGATCGTCTTTGGTAAAGTCTTAGTCAAACGCGTCTCTTATTTATGGAAGAGCTCGATTTGTCCCGATCAACTCTCTATTGTAATAGCCATTGCCAATAAAACTCCGTCTTTCAAGCAAAGTGCTCAAAAAATTACTTTGTACGCCACTGGTGCCTATTTTACGAATATCGGATGAGCGGCTGACGAGTGGGACTAAGCCCAACTAACTCCCAGTATCTCTCGGGCAAGACCATTCCTTCGAAACTTCGATCGACGCAGTTTCACTGCTAATTGCTTTGATTGAGACTAGAAATACAGAGTTTGGCACTAAAACGATTGCATAAGGAAACCACAAGACATGGCCACCGACAGTCAGACTAGTCACAGGTAGTTTTTCTCCTTCGTTGTTAGTGTTTTCTCCATAGTTTATACAAGTTGTCAAGGAATTGCTTTTTGTTTACAAATGGAGTATTCTACTAGCTTGGCAACAACCTCGAATGATCTTAAAATCGTGAATATCTTATATAAGTTATTCCTATAGTGTTGATTACATCTTAGTTTACTTATCCCTGGAACTAAGACAAACTTTGTAGCGTACGAGATTGCCCCGCTTTAAACAGTCTAAATTAGGTGCAGTAAACAATACAATGTACATATGTCTGGATTTATGAAAACCGTGCTAATTTCAACACAACCACCCTGACACTTTTCCAAGAAAAT